CAGGCAACTGACATCTAGGACAGTTCAGTGGCACCCTTGCAAAGAGGTCATTCCAGCAGGGCTGTGGACGTTCTACTCCTTATTGTAGAGGAATGGAGAGGGTGTCACAAGACCATTATCTGAGTATCTAGATATTCTGTCGTCTTAATTTCATGTGGCCTTGGGGGGTGGAGGTAGGGTATATTAGGTAGAAGACTAGAGGAAAGGGCCACCATCTTTGTGGCTATGGGGAAGCCCTCATCCTCTAAGGGTGTCCTGTTGTGGTCAGGGAGGAATACCTACACCCCTTATATAACTACTCCCAATGCTCTCTGTAAGGAAGTGTAAGGAAGCCTAATAAACTGTTTCCCTAAAGTGAACTTTGACAGAATCATGCCTGTTTCTGGCTGGGACCTTAGGGGAAGGGGAAGGTGTTGTTTATGGTCTCTCATAAAAGAATTTTAGTAACGTGAGGCTAGGGTGAGACGGGGTGGATGGGGCTATAGTTCAGTGTTACTGTACCTGCCTACCATACATGAGGCCCTGTATTCAGCCTGTAACATCTGAAACACACACAACAAGCAAGGTAGTCACAGATCATAAAACTGTTACCAGTGACTTTGGGAATGTTAGAGAACTCAGGATTTCAGGTAAGAGTAAGTTGAAGAGAAATGCTGTAAAACACGCTGACTGCACTTAACAGTGTATTTAAAACTGCTATAAGAGGGAACTATATGTGTTCTCACATAAAAAAGAAGTAATACATTTTATTTAGCTTGATTTGGCCATTCTATGGTATAGAATAATCTTTGCACACTGTAAACCTGTACTCTCATTGGTTAATAAAGAACTGACTGGCCTATAGCTGGGCAAGAAGACACTGGGCAGGAAAGCCAAGACTAGGAGGATGCTGGGAAGAAGGGCTTCTGAGAAGTCTGGAGCAAGATGCAGAGGAAGCAGATGTGCATGCTGTATTGAGAAAAGGTACTGACACATGGCAGAGGGTGGAACACAGATAAAATATGGCTTAATTTAAGTTGAAAGAGCTAGTTTAGTAACAAGCCTAAGCTATCAGCCAAGCATTTATAATATCAAGTCTCTGTGTAGTTATTTGGGGGGCTGGCTGGTGGGACAGAGAAACTCTACCTACATTCTATTTGTAGTTCAAGGCCTTAAACTGGATACCATAAATCATCCATTTTATTTGTTAATTATAAACTATCAGCAAGTTGCCAAGATGTTTGATCCAAACCTGACAAAGGATAATTGGAGGCTTTAATCTTGTGTGGAATAGAAAGAAAATAAACAATATATTTTTCAAATTTAAATTTTATTAAAGTACAGAGTTAACAAGTTTGAGTTTTTTTTTACATAGGAAAAGGCCAGTCAATTTCAGGTGCTTCATAGAAAAATTAGCACTCAAAAAAGAAAAATACAAATCCACAATTGGCACTGTGGCTAATAGGGAAAAACAACAATTTTAAAAGGTAGCAAAATCTAACCATGTCAGAAACCTTTATAAACAAACAGTAGACTTACTACACAAGTTGCATTCGAACTCCAATATAAAAAGACATAACCACAAAATTTGACTATAGCTAATTGTTTCCAAAAAAATCTTTTTAAAAAATTAACAGATATGACTATAAAAAATTTTGTAGTTTTTCTTTGCAAAGTAAAAAAGTTTAAACCTTTAATAAATGAAGTCAAAATGATCCTCTTAAAATTTTTATAAATAGCTCTCAAGACATATATTACTTGTCTGCTGTAATCTTTCTTTACCTGAGAGAATTTCCCAGGATCCTTTTTCCCAAAGGATTGCCTTAGAGTCCTTCCATCATTTTGCTCAAATGAATGTGGTTAAACTTCTGCCGAAGTCAATTTTGGGCAAATACAGTCCTGATTTGCCTGCCCTTCCCCAACTAAAACAAAGTCAAATACACCTCTTTGGTAAAAGTCAAGTATCTCAGCCTTTCAAAATAACTGTCCCTGTGAACGCTTCACTGATGGAAAACCAGAGAGCCCATCTCTGTAGGAGATGAAAATGTTTACCAGGAAGTGAGTTACACACAAAACCCTTTAGATCCTGTGGCCCAGGTGCCAACCCCATCTCTGACGGCAGTGGGGCAACATCCTCTCTGGGTGTTCAGTTTAATTTCTGAAGCCTGTCATTTCTTAGTAGTATTTACCATGTGCACCGGTACACACTTTGGCAAACCAAAACAGATACTGCTTAGAATGGCAACAGAAGAAGAAAGCCCCAGAAGTTTAAACACACAGGCTCTGGAGCTCCTTTCCAGATAGCATGGAGCACCAATGATGGGCCGTTAGGCAAAATAAATATGTACATCACCTGAAAAAGGCAGAGGGTGGAGCTTTGGGAAGGGGGCAGTGAACACTACAGCAAAGTTGTCTGTGAACTGGAAACACTGTCGTCATGTGCAAACTCCTGCTGGCCATTCCTTACGGGAATCAGAACCCCAAAGCCTCAATACCCCACCCTCCCTCCAACTCCTTCCCTGCCACAGTTCACCCATGATATAAAATTTCCCCAAACCTCTGGAAAACAGTTCATCTGTTGACTTTCCAAGACCCCAGGACCAGCTACCCAGCAGCACAACAGCCTGACTCAGCAATGGTGTGGCAGGCTTTCCAAGGGTGAACATGGGGACAGTCTCCATGTCTAAGCAAGACTGCTGGGAGACACCCCCCCACCTTCCCACCCACCTTCCCACCCACCCCCACCCCCGCTTAAGTGTTTTACTCATAAAAACAAGAGCAAGAGAAACATACAATTTCTAACTCTGCTGCCCAGTCTGCCACTACTAACAGGGTCAACCAGCAGCTTCAAGGCATGCATTTGTATGATCCTGTGTGAATAGGCAAGAAGCAAGGGGCTGTTATCTTTAAAAAATTATATTATCAGAGAATAAGGCAAGTTAACACTGCCATTGACTGCCATTGTTAACTCAAAGCAATTGGCACACTTTCCAGTTTCTCAAGTACAAGAACCTAACAGGGTTCCTCAACCCTCAAGTGAACATCCACCTGAGGAGTTTCTCATAGCTCATGATGAATGTCAACTTTTTGTTTTGAGACAGGGTCTAGCTGGCCTAGAACTCACAGAGATCCCTTGCTTCTGCTGACATTAAAGGTTTAATTCTCACCTTCTACCTTTCTAAGAAACCCACAGTCCTCAAGTGCAGCCATCTCACTTCTGATCATCGATCTAACTCTAGCAGCTGAGAGTGAAGATGGGCATGGCCGACCATTCCTCTCAAGAGAGACCCAGTTTCTGAAGGGGAGGGCATGAACCCAATCATCACTTAGGCAGCTGGGAAGTAAGTGGGACCTGCCTGGCTGACAAAGAAGCCACAGGGGCTGCCTGTGACCGACCGGCACTGTCCTGTGTTTCCCTTAGCTGTTTTCTGGAGAGGAAAGGGGTCAACAAAACCAGCCCAGGGATGTGTGACCCTGTCAACCTGACCTTGGTCCAGTAAAACCAGTTCAAAACTCACCACATCTGGCTGCCAGACTCAGCAGAGAAGACAAAGGCTTGACTAGACCTTAGCAGGAGGAAAACAATATGGCTCCCACCTCTGCCTGAGGCCCCTCTGCTTCTCCTCAGAGCATGCCTTTCTGGTTCAGCAGCGGCCGCTGCCATGGAGACAGCTTACACAGCCCACTTTCTGAACCATCCCCAGTTGATGGGGCTCCCACTCCCACTGGATTAACTGGACTTGTTTAGAGTTAGTATGTAGCTTTTGTGAGTCTCACGTGTGTTTAAACCGAGTTTAAAGAACCTCTGACCTATATAAGGAATTGTGACAAAGTTAACAAACAAGGGATCCTTATTTGTGTACCCTTTAAGACTGTAAATTAAGTGAGTTCTTCAAAGAATCCACCCATATTAATCCCCCATGGCACTTTTAGTAGGAGGACACAGGAGTGAATAGAACTAAGAATCCACATTTTGACATATGGGAACCAGGCTTACGTGCGTCCCAATTCTGCCTGATTTGTTCAGATAGGCACAGAAAGAACAGCTAGATCGAGTCCTTTTGGGATGTCTGGAGAGCATTTCTACTCCACACAGAAGCAGGGTATTCCTCCACCAGTCTCTAGCAGATTCGGCACTGTGAATTCTAGACTAAGAACATCCACACTGAAAGTAAACACCGAGAGTATTACTTTCCAGAAGTGTGTGGGGGATGTTTCTGTGGACGTGATCCTGGCTGTGAGAGAGGCCCTCAGCCTCCTTCCGTTGCATCTAAGTCTAATTCCTCATGTCCTTGTCTAGACTGTCTGCTGGGCTCTGCTGAAGCTCCTCACCCCAGCCCTTCCACACCATGGAAGCCATGACGTTAACATCGGGGCACACTGCAGGTGAGGAAGGCCTCACAGACAGGATTGGGGCAGGTGGGGGCTGCCCTTAACACTCCGGCAAGGTTGTGTGACAAGCTGCAGCCAAGAAGCAACTTTTCTGTTAATGACACAAGTAAGAGCTCCGAGCCCGTGATGCCCGGGTAAAGAAAACTATCGTTTCACAATCACATGACCACCATACGTAAGTGCCGTAACTGCAGACCTGGATTGGGGAGGCATAGAAAGGCGGAGGACTCCATGGAGGTGAGAACAAATTGTGCTTTTCACATTATTATGAAGATTGCCAGACCAGAATGAAGGTCCTCTGCCAAGGGCAGAGAGGAAAGGTCCTGACCTCCCGGGAAAACGCTGGGGCAGGGACACGGGGAAGTTGTTCTGAGAGTGGAGGACCTTCCTCTTGTCTATAATCAGACAGCTGTGAGGGCTCCAGGAGGCAAAAGTGAATGACACAGGTCAAGACCCACCTGGGGGCTGTGGACTCAATGGTTTTGTTTTTGTTTCTTTACACTAAGGATGACAATGACAGGCTGTACAAAGCCATTTTCATCCCTGTGATGGATGGTGTGCCCCAAGTTCTGCTCTAGTTAAGACACACCCAAGAAAAACAGCAACAGAACTTTAGCTACCACTTAGGGTAAGGCATAAAGACATAATTAATTGCACCTATCAGCTTGGCTAAAGATTTCAATTCCTGTCAGTCAAACTGGTAGTTTCCTTTTGGATTTTAGACTAAAGCTGATTGGGAGATTTTGTTTTCTGAAAGCATCGTCAGACCCGGGGCACGAGTTGCTGCTCAAACCCCTGATGCACATAGTCAAAGACTAGCCCTCCAGAGTGGGACATAGGCCTGCCGAGCCAAGGGGCACTTGCACATCCTCACACCGAGAACTGCCTGGAAGGACAGCAAAGAGGGGCCACCAGGGTCCACAAGTACAGTATCACACATATCCAGCAGGAGGCCATCTTGACCCAGAAGATGGACCAGCTCCCAGTGAAGAAGGTCTCAATGGTGGCATCTTTATAACTGTTGAGAAAAGGACATAGTTGTGAGAGCAGAAGAGAGGGGAAGAGGTTTCCTCTGCTCTAGGAACTTTCTGTTCCCAGAAGCCTTCAACTTCCTTTTTTAGCAATTAATGGAGTCATAACTCATATATATTTAAAATGCATCATTTGGTGACTTCAAACACTTAAGACCTTTCCTCTATCACCACTACAGTGTTCTCAAGACTTGCTAAGTGGAATTAGCCCTTCCTGTGTTGTATGCTTTGTTTCTCGGCACAGAGATGGGACCCAAGGTCTCATACACTGAGCTGATGCTCTGCCTCTGAGCATCCCCAGGCACCTGCCATTCCTTAACTGTAGTGAGCACCCTCAGCATCCAGGAAAGGATGCTGGTCTACCAGGAAGAGTGGTAAGCTGTTGGTTACAAAGGCTATGGGTATGGTAAGAGCTGGACAAGAGTTTAGATGACTCCACACTGAACTTGGGTGTTGGTTATTTGTTTTTGTTCTGTCGCAACTACTGGCCTGTGTAGAAATATTTACTCTGAGCTTGGTTTTAGGGCATTTCAAATGGACCACTCACTGGAACCAGCTGGTCAAGGTCATCATCACATAGAGAGAAGCCAGCAAGAAGACAAAGTGGAAATAGGAGTAGCTGTAGACGGTGCCTTTCTTCTCATCATAGATGACCCGGGGTCCCTTTTTGACATTCTGCTGCTCTTCAGTGTCTGTGGATGACAAAAGGTGCCCAAGGGCAGTGGTGAGCCCACATATGGTTATCCCTGTCCCTGTAACAGCTCTTGTTTGCACATATCAGTCCTAGGTGCTGCTAAGTGGAAGATGCAGTAAATGCTATCTGCACCTCAGTCACCCCAGAAAATTGATTAATTAGTTTAGTTAACAAGTATTTTTATTTTAGTAGGCTGGAATAAAGAAAGCCCGTAAATACATAGAGAGTATCAGAAAGCTTAGCAGGAGGGTAGCCCATGAGCTTTCAAGCCCCTAGGACTTTCCCTTCTATGAAGAAATGGTACCCAGGTGAGGTATAGGGACCTCTTGTCATTTTCATATCATTCCTTTAAACACACGCACACACACCATAAGTTTTCGAACTCTTACTTAATTTATACATGAATCAGAATGCACACTGATTTTCCCTGCCAGCTGCCAACAAAACAAACAAAACCCAGCAACATTTGAGGAAGATGTAAGAAGTACATAAACAGTAAAATAGCTTTGGAACAAGTGTAGTTGGGTACCAACATAGTGTCTGAATTACTAATGCCTACAGAGAGAAACCCTGGTCTGCAAGAAAGATGCACTTACCCTCTCCATCTGGACCAAAGCAAAAACAGCAGCGGGCTACCTGTGAGAGCAAAGGCAACCAAGTCAGACACCTCTTCTCTATGTGCCTAGCACTGCAGGCTGCCCACATGGCAAAGCTGCTATCAGAAGCACATGCTAGTGCCTCAAAAGGTTTGGCTGAGTATCCATCCCAAGACACACGGGACATAGTAACGGGGGATGCCCCCATGGGCATGGGATATCCTAGCTAGGTACCCTAGGGACAAAGCTAACAGGCCATGTAGAACACCCAGGGGCACCATCTATGTTTGGGAGCATGCCCTGGGGTTAGTCTAGCTTATACTGCCCTTTAATTTTATCTAAATTCTGCCTAATTCTGTCTCCAACCTCACCACCCCCCTTCTACATGTGCTGACCCCTAATAAATTATCCAGCTGAGCCATTCTGCCATGGCTCCTACTTCTGGATGACTGAAACATGCAACAAACAAGATGAGGACCTTACTTGCCATGCAGCACTTTCTAGTGATTCATTCTGCAAGCTACTCAATTCTTCTCCTACCTTGGGGCCGGGACTAGGATCATGCTCACAACTGAAGACACTGAAATCAGGCAGGTTCAATAGGCAGCCAGCAAACTAGCTTCGTGACAGAGCTTGGAACACATGCAGAATGAAGACCTTGGGATCGATGACTCACAACAATAAGTGGCATGTGGTATTCAGGGGGCTGAAGAGTGTGGAATGTGAAAGGGAGAAACCTGAAGTGCCTCTTAAAGCCAGGTGCTGAGCAGGGATGGTGCTACGCTCCTGTCTTAACACTCAGGAGGCACAAGAATCCCAAGTTCAAGGTTGGCCTGAGCAACACACTGAACTGAAGGCTAGCCTGAGCAACACAGTGGAGTCAAACCAGCTTGGGCTACACAGCAAGATCCAGGCCAGCCTGGGTTATGTAGTGAGGCTCTGATAAAAGCAAAATAACAAATCAGACTGCTGAGCTGACTGTGGATACAGACGGCTGGGATACTAGTTTCATTAGTACAGTTTGAACTTTATATCTTTGTTCTTATTTGTTCAAAGCAATAAACTCAAAAAAAAAAAAGAAATGAAAGTATCTAAGTTTTATTACATAATTGCAGAAAGATTGATAAACAGGGTAAGCAGCACAACACATACCAAGACTATCTGGGAAGCATTAGCCCTCGTTATCTCTAGGGGAAAACAGTTGAGCTACAAAACCCAGAGCCAGAGCTGAGGCCATGGGAACATCAGCTTTTCACCTCACAAATCTCACTCAAGTCAAGCCCTTGTTTCCCTTTGGCTCCACAAGATTTGGACCACGTGAGGCCACCTACAATTCACTAACAGCAGTGGGCCCACTTTATTCATGCTGAGGCCTTGTTTCTTTTGAAGCTTAAGTTACTACAGAAAAATACTAGCTTGGTTTTCAAAGGTGTATCTCAGGCAACTCTATGTGGGAGCATCAACCCACTTGCTCAGAGGCAAACACTGGGCAGCTTCTCTTCAAAGGAAAAGAACAACATCCTCTCTTAAATCTAACCTGGGGACTGGCCACTGTTTGAGCCTGAACTCTGTACACAATGGGGGACTTTGAAACCATAATAGCCAACCCTCAGCAGGTGTCCACCCAGGCAGCCTTGAGAACAAAGGGACAAAGGCTGCTTCTGGAGGCCATTCTGCTCTGCAACAGACAGCAGCAACCTATTCAAACCAGCACAATTTTCTCCTTTAAGTGACAGAAAGAGATGGTGAATGATGCTGGCAGAGTAATGAGTCTTCATAATGGCTCACTATCTCTAGGTCAGGTGCTGGAAGGGGCATCCTAGACAGCCAGCTACAGAGCAAAGTGCCCATGGCTGTAAAGACAGTGGGGCTTGTCCATCCAGTAAATGCTATTCCAAAGGAGCCAGTGGCCAGATGCCAGGCAAAGCTAGCAGCAGGGATCAGGGACAGCAGCTGTACCCCGGGGCCACATCCTGTTAAATGGAAATCATTTTCCCTCTATAAAATGCAAGAACAGCCTCTCACTGGGTTTCCGCGAGGACTAAATGGCACACAGAAAGCTCAGTACCCAGCACTGGCAAATGCTAAATGACTTAGCCATCACTGAAGACCTAGGTTCTTCCCAGCCTGGAGTCAGGATTGAATCTTGTCTTAACTACCCTGTATGTTTGAGTTTTCTGACTACGGTTTAGGCTTTGTCAAGAGCTCCAGATAAAAAACTCCCTTACAGGAAAGAAAATGACTTGTTGGCTGATAGGCAGCTGCAGACTCCCTCCTCCCATTGCCATGCCGTGAATAGCCTCATGGATGTGTTTACAGTTCTGAATTCTTTACTGGAGGGTACAAGTGTGATGGAGCTGATGGATAATTACAGAGTCAGTGCACCCACCATGCTCAGCACACACACACACACACACACACACACACACACACACCTGCCTGCCTTCCTACGGAACAGGATTACATAACTCCATCGCTATGCTCTATACGGAGACTACAGATGGGTGTCAAACAGGTGAATGGTTTAAAACAAAAAGGACATCTGCATTCTATTACAACCAAAGAGAGTAAACAAGGACTAGCTCAGACTGGAGGTGGGCCTCTTTCTCGGATAGAAAACAGAACCATGGATGCCCACCCCCAAAGGTATCAGCATAGTGCAAAGGAAGAATTAGTTTTCTTACTGGATATAGAAGCCATACTTAGGACAGGTTCCATGCCCTGCAGTAGATGGCCACACAAAACAAACTCAACTGTATTTTTGGAGATGTTCTGTTTCATGATGCTTTGCTTGGACATTTTCTACTTTACTTGTCTTTTGTTTCACTGTTACAGATTCTGATTTTGTGTTTGTATGGGTTTTGTATGTGTGTACGCATGTGTATACGCATGAGCGAGCGCGCGCGCGCTTGTGTGTGTGTGTGTGTGTGTGTGTGTGTGTCTGAGAACATGATTTAGTGTTTCTTGTGCTTTTTCTTGTTTTCCCTGGTTGCCTTGTTTTGTTTTGAAGTTGGACTGTTGTTTTCTAAAGAGAGAGTGAAAGAAGAATGGTGTTGGATGGATGGGGCTGGGGCCTGAGAAGAGACAAGGGAGGAGAAACCACGGTCAGAATATATGAAATTTTTTATTTTTTGTCTGTTTGATTTTTTTGTTTTGTTTTTCAAGAGAGGGTTTCTCTGTGTAGCCCTGGCTGTCCTGGAACTCGATTTGTAAACCATGCTGAACTTGAACTCAGAGATTCACCTGCCTCTGCCTCCTGAGTGCTAGAATTAAAGATAAATACCACCAGTATCTGGAGGAGGAGGAGGAAGAAGACAGCTGCACATAAAGGCTATCCTGAGAAATGGGTCCTGAGCTGACACAGGGGAAGAAAAGGAAAGAAACTTACTTCCAGTTCAGGAGCTCCATAACGCCTCTGCAGAGCATCCAAACTCGACCTTGTTGTTGAAGTCAAACTAGGAAAAAACAAAGTCCAAGAACACAGTGAGAAGTTGTCATCTGGAATGAAGGGAAAGCTGCCTGGCTGCGCACCCACGGCTCTGGCACCTGCATGAAAGTGCATTTCCCTCCTCATCTCCATCTGCACAGAGGTATTTAGGGAGAGGAAGGGTGTGTCTGTGCTGAACAAGAGCACACATCTTCCTCCCTTGCTCTTACTTTCTAAGTGACAATGTCTTACACTACTTACAGTGTTATCAGACGCACCATCTAGAGACATTTAAACACATATGGAGGATATGTGCAGATCTTATGTAAAAATAATTCCCATACCACTTTATAGGTAAGAAACTTGATTTGGTATCTGGGGTGGGAGGACTCCTGAAAACAACTCCACACCAGACACTGAGGGATGAACACAAGCTACTGTGATATTTCATTTGCAACCCAAGTTTGTTGGCTGATTCTACAGCAATCTTTTTACATACACTATATTAGATTATTTTATCCAGACACAAGTTTGCTGGTTATCTCTGGTCTTCTCCTTGGCATTCAACATGGGTTCTTGCTGCTCCTCCTACAAATGACAACCACTTTCTAATTTCGCTTTTTAACTGTCTGTGAGTCTCACTTAGAGATCAAAAAGATATGAGAGAAAAGCAAAGGGCACCGGAGTGACTTTCCCTTTGAAATTTGTTAGAGAAGTTGGTCTGCTTTTGTTTTTTGCTTGTTTTTCCTTTACATCCAGGAGATGTAGCTCAGCTAGCAGAGTGCTTGCACAGCATGCCTGGAGCTGTGTTCAGTTACACAGACCTGGAACACCCCAGACTTGAGGAGAGCAACTTCAAGATCAGACATTCAAGGTCATCACTGACTACAGTGAATGTGAGACCAGACTGGCCTACAGTAGATCCTATCCCAAAACTTTTTCCTGCATTCCCTTTACATAGAGAGGTAAAATTACATGTAAAATTGGACAAAGGTAAGACTATTTTTCCCTTATACAAAAACATGGAAACACTATAAACAAACAAACTCAACATTTACCCAAACTTTATGCTCTTATTTCAATAATTCCTAAGGGCCATGAGTCTGCATGTGGCAAACCCTGTTTTGAGAGCTAGGGGCCCATCAGTAAATATGCAGCTACTCTGCCTCACACAGGACCAAGCTTACAAGGATGCAGAGGGTGACTATTGGGGCTCAAGAAGCTAGGCTCCTAGTGGACAGGAAGGGATTAAGATTCTTGTCACCAAAACAACAGGGTCTTGTCTGTTTGCTCAGACAATGAACTGCAGAGAAGCAATAGTCTCCCTTGCTAGCAAAGAGGTCCTCTGGGATCCATACCCTAGTCCTCCACTCCTCCATTCCACTTCCTGACTCAGGAAGACAAAAGCTTCCCGGTGGCCATGCTCCCAAGGAACTTAGCCATCTGTTCATGCACTTCGGACTTTTGCATGCCAAGTATGCTTTCATACAGCAGGAAGCTTCACAGGAAAACCCAAACTTTAATTTTAGTGTCACAACAGTAACTGGGGTTTCAACTGGAAACGGAAGACCAGTCTTTAGGAACACTGGAATAAACACTCCATTTCATACGTTCTTTGAATAGAAGTTTAAGAAAGACACAACTTTTGATTCAAGCTCTTTGCCACCCCATCCCCACCCTCAGATAGCACTAAACCAGGGAAGGGCTTTGCTTTTCTGTCTAAAACTATTTACACCCAGTTCATCCTTAGGGACTGTTTCTTCCTATATGTAGTATAAGACCTTTTCCCATAAAACTCTTGAAAACTGCATGTGAGCTATAAAGTAGTCCTTGGTTATTTTCATATTAGTTATGCTTAAAAGGAAAAAAAAACTGTTTAGTACTTAAGCCATTTAGGAAAATAACCACTGATTATAAAAGTGGGAAAGCTAAGAATCTATATTAAATACTAAGCAGCTTCCTGATTCAAAATAGGATGTTCTCAGCAATAGAACATGCCCTGTGGAAGAATGTTGGTATGGTGCTTCCTAATAATCTAATTATGCAGGTCACCCAGCGCTCAGGACCCCACCTTAGCAATACCACTCCAAGCCATCTCTGGGGTGGTCTTTGTCACATAATTGAAAGCAGCTACAATAAAATTGTACCAAAAGAGGGTGCAATTGCTTTGACCAACATGACCATGTTTTTCTAGAAAGGGCTGTGAAGCATTTGGAAGTTTGGGCTTGAAAGGCCATTAGGTCTCAAAGCTTAAGATTAATGTAAGGGGCCTAACCCATGGTGGATGGTGCCACCCTGGGCAGGTGGATCTGCGTAGTACAAGAAAGCAGGTTGAGCAAGCCATGAAGAGCAAGCCAGTAAGCAGCATTTTTCCTACCTCCAAGATCTTTCCTTGAGTTCCTGCCATGACTGCCCTTTACGATGGATTACAAGCTGTAAGGTAAAACAAACCCTTTCTCCATGCATTTGGTCACTGTATTAAGTTATGGTTTCCATTGCTGTGAGAAAACACCATAGCCAAAAGCAACTTTGGGAGGAAAGGGTTTATTTCAGCTTACAGTTCCTCATGATAGTACACTCAAGCAGGATAGGAGCCTGGAGGGCAGAGCATATGCAGAGGTCATGGAGCGTGTTACATACTGCCTTCTTGTTCTATCTGCTCTGTTTGCCTGCCCAGAGGTGGTACTGTCCACATCCTGTACCACAGGCTTGCCCCAGGCCAATCTTGTGGGGACATTTTCTCAGCCGAGGTTCCCTTATCCCAAATGACTTATCTCTGTCTAGCCAGCACAGCCATATTATCTATTAACAGTAATAGAAAGCAAACCAAAAAACTCTGAAATCATAAGCCAAAATAAATCTTTCCTTCCTTAAGATTTTTTTTTTTTTTTTGGGTCAGGTGTTTTGTCATAGTGATAATAAAAACAGTAATCACATAGCTATCAATCTCTCCACATGCTCGAGCAAAGGGTGCTCAAGCCAATGACGCCCAAAGTTGAGGTAAAGAGCTGCACGAACAGACTCCATTCTTTACAAGTACAAAGGACTCCAGGATCCTCCCCAGCCTGAGAACTCCAGGTGGAAATAGCAAAACAGCATTCCCAATCCCAAGAACAAGAAGGCGTTAAGGACTTTATGTCCTGTGGAATCTGGACTTTGTCACACGTTTCAGGAGAGGATGGAAAGCCTGGACTAATGGTGCAAACTCTTAGGGAACCCTGGCAACTGGGCCAAGGTGAGGGCCATCATGGGGCCCTGGCTGGGATGCTTCTCCACAGAGGTAACCCCTGGCACCAGGCGGGGCTCTAGAGAAGGTGGCCCAGGAAGCAAGGTTTGGACAAGACAACACAGAGTGAATTCTCAGGAAGTGCCTTGGCAGTAGGCAGGGCAGACACAGCACTAAGAAGCATTTGGGAGTGAGACAAGGATCCCCCAGAGAACTGTGAGGAGGTAAGTGGGCCATGCTTTCTATATTACAAAGTGTAACCCCAGACAATCCTGGGCCTAACACTGAACACCTCTTTAATTTCTTAGTTCTTCTCCTTTAATCTGCACACTACCTAGTGTTCTACACTGTACAATTTCCACCAAGAATGTAACTATTCCTATAATCATGTTCAAATAACAGCTTCAGCCCAGACAGTGTGGCCTCCTTTGAGAACATTCCCCAACCTCCCTCCCATGCTTCTGGAAAGAGCTGATAACCCCCAATGGTACTGGTACCTCCTTTAGGGGCATGTCCTTTCTTCAAGGCCCTGTGAAGTCTCTAAATTCAGCCCCTGTGAGCTTAAAGCCAGTATATTTGTTTATAACATTCTCCAAGCTTGGCTCCTCTTGGTGCTACAGTGGGTAATTACTGCCAGCATCCACTCTCCAGACCCTACAGGAAACTTAGCCAACTCCTGGGAGTGTGTTCACACATGTGTGACAGAAGCATCCATGGACAGCCTCTACACTCTGTGCACTGCGGTCTTGTGTCTTCATTCCAGGCCACTATGGTTCTGCAGTTTAATTACCATCATTCAGTAACAACGTTTGCTGTTGGCATTCAGACAGCCTAAGCAGCAGCTGCCAGCTTTGAAAATTGACAACTTTGGGGAACATCAAATTACCCTTTGCCAACCTCCATCATGATGCCTAAATTGTCTGAGATGGTCTCTCAAAAATGATCTTTTAGCCGGGTGGTGGTGGTGCATGCCTTTAATTCCAATACTCGGAGGGCAGAGGCAGGTAGATCTCTGAGTTTGAGGCCAATCTAGTCTACAGAGTGAGTTCCAGGACAGCTAGAGCTGTTACACAGAGAAACCCTGTCTGGGGGGCGGGGGTGATCTTTCTGGTTTTTCTGGCTTTTGTTGTTGCTGTTAAAGTGCTAGGGATTAAATCTAGGGTTTTATATATATGGAATGGCAGGCAAATTCACTTCCACAGCCCCAAATTAAAAGTGATGGGGGGGGGGATTTAAACCCAGATCCTCACAAAGGCTGAGAGTTAAGAATTGCTGTGCTAAGATGTGGGGATGTGACACACTTGTGGGAAATGGCCTGTGTGTGCGCGTGCATGAGTATGTTTGTGCACACACAATTATACCTGGCTCTACCATTGAGCCATACTCCCAGTCCTAAAAGAGACTTAAGAAAAAAAAAAAAAAAAAAAAAAAGGTTTTGCTAAATTACTTAGTCGAATCTCAACTTTGTAATCCTCCTGCCTCACCTTCCCTTATTAGCTGGGATCACAGGCACACACCAATGTATCTAGCTTTAAAAGTACGTCTTTACAACTCTGAGAAGTGGGGAAAATGTGAGTGGGTGGAAATTCTGTACTGAGAGATGCCCCACAACTGTCAATCCATGCAGCATACGCAGTAGGACTCTGATCTTTTCTTTGAATGGCCGAAGCAAACCTAAACCTCTGGGCTAGCCAAGGAACAACCACTCCCCCACCCCAGCTTTACTGGACACTGACGGACCTTCTAAAAGCCAGTATTTTATTCTGTTAAATACCCTTACAATTTCTTCTGATAACATTAAAGCAGACAAATAAACACAAACCCAAAACACCAAAACAAAAACCTGAAATGAAGGAAAATACGTATCTCCACTGCCATTCCTACCACAGGTTTGGTCTGACTCTTCCTGGGTTTCTAGTTTGTTTTGTTTTTTTAAGTATTTATTTTATGAGTATGAGCATTTTACATTCAATTATGTCTGTGTACCACATGTATGCCCGGTGGCCAGAGCTAAAAGAGAATCTGAACTGGAACCAGGGTTATATATGATTGTGAGCTGCCATGTGGGTGCTAGGAACTGAACCTAGATCCTCTGCAAATGGTTAAGTGCTCTTAACCACTGAGCCAACTCTCCAAAGCCTCCTCCTGCGAAGTTTTATAAATATAACTGTATTTGATTTCTTTCTTTTAAAGAGAATGAGCTATAAGCAGTTTAGTAACCTACTTCTCTCTTGACTGACCAATATTCTTGCGATTTTTTAAATTTTATTTTGTGTCTGAATGTTTCACTTGTGATGGGAGATGCCATTATGTATATATGCTTTTCATACTAGTTAATGAATAAAGCACTGTTGGCCAATAGGAAAGGAAGATAGGAGGGACTAGGAGACAAGGAAGAAAGAGGAAGTAGGAAGGAGGAGCCAAGATGGAGAGTCTGGAGAGAACAGTACGCGGCAGCCAGCTCCCGGTAAGAAGACCACGTGGAAATACATAGATTAACACAAATGGGTTAATACTTAAGATAGAGCTAGCCAATAAAAAAGCAGTAACTGGCAACAGTATAATATCTAATACAGAGTCTCTGTACATTATTTGGGGCTGGCGGCATGGCGGCAGGACAAGACCAGGCGGCGGGCGGAAAAACCGTACTCCTTACACACTTGCACATACGTCTGATTAGCATGTGTGCGCAATGTGCTAGTGTCCAGATGAGGAAGTCAGATCCCCTGGAGCTGGAGTTACCTCGGCTGTTAGTGGCCAAGTTTTTGAATCTAAGAGCACTGGAAGAGCATCAGTGCTTGGAGCTGCTGACCATCACTCCAGCCTCACTCACAGCATTCTTAAGTGCTGATCTGCTTTCTGCTGCTGTGGGAAACACCATAACATAAAGCAACTCAGGGAAGAAAGGACCCACTTCATCTTACACTTCCACATCACAGCCCATCGCTGAGGGAAGTCAGGGCAGGAACTCAAGCAGAGGCCATGGAGGAATGTGGCTAACTGACTTGTGACTCATGGTTTGCTCCCCCTGCTTTCTAACAAACCACCTGCACAGGGGTGGCACCACCTCCAGTGGGCTGGGCCCTCCCACATCAATCATTAATCAAGAAAATACACCCCAGGCTTTCCCACAGGCCAACCTGATGGGGTCTCCGTTTCTCAATCAAAGTTCTTTTCCCCAGATTACTCTGGGCAGCATACAGCCAACAGAAAAAGTGGTTGCATTAGGTATGGGCTCACTGGAAATGACCAAAGACTTGAATCCCCCTCATTGTTTAATTTTATGTCTGTCTGTCTTTGTGCGCATGTAGAGGCCAACTCATACTGGGCATCTTCCTCAATGTGTTCCTACCTTACTCTTTGAGACAGGGTCCCTCACTGAACCTGGAGCTCACTGACTGACTACACTGGCTGGCTAGCAGGTTGGGATCTGTCTGCCCACAGCCACAGCACTAGGGTTAGCAATGTGGGTTAGAAAGCTAGGCTTTTCACATGGGCACTGGAGATGTGAATCTGAACTCAGGTCCTTATGCTCGCACAGCCATCCCTTTACTGACTGACATCTCTCCAGCCTCAACCCTCTCTGTTTCAGTATAGCAGGTACTAGGTAGACCTTATGGAATTAAATGCCAGAAATGTCCCTTCTGACATAAGGGACAGACTGTGAGGTAGCACAGGCAGACTGAGGGTCCATGCTGGCTAGAGAACCACCAGTTTAACCAGATGGCACACAACCAAGCACTTCCTGGCTGGCTCACAGTCCTGAGCAAACACCCTCGTAGCGTGCAGGCCCTTGCTGGCCCCTTCCTCTCAGTAGGATTTATTAGAGAATGTGTGTCAATGTACTCAGACATTTTCTTTACACAGGCTGTCACTACCAGGGTTGTTTAGTTTCAGCAAGAAGAATTATAATGTGCCCACGACAAACTGATTCCTTACACACAGAAACAAAACATAAAACATGCTCAAGTAAAACTCACTCTGAAAAGGCTCCTGTTGAAGCTTTATTATCAGTGAAGAATAAGTAACCAGCCATTTCTATCCTTGACTTTTCTCTCCAGCACCCTCTGAAGAACTTTTAAAGTGGAGGCTGCATGGCACAGGTACGTGAGACACCCAGCCTACGTTACATGTATCCCATAGACCCTTGTGAGATGCTGCTTGGTCTACTTCAGAGCATGGTGGATCCTAGCACAGGAGAGGACACTTCCTGTCTGGACCACACATAGAACAACCAGGCTTTCTTTCCAGAGATAACAAAACAAACACTATTTGCCTTAGAGTTTTGCCAGAACATTTTGGCATATACTGTCTTTGGCTTCCTCACTATGTGTTCCCTTACTCTTCAAGGATGCCACAGCAACTAATCTTCAATCATCCTTTAAACAATGCAAGCTTCTATTTAATTTGCCCCATATAATGGAGCAATGAGTACACAGATTTCACGTAGGAGGCCACATAGCAACAAGGCTCTGTCGCTTCTGGCATTTTTCTGCTATGGACAGGGGCTGAACCAACACTTTCCCTGTACTGTTAAAGCCTGTAAATAGAGCGTCCGTAACTCTGTGGACTTACCATGAATAGGAGATGCACACGATCAAGAGAAAGATGCCCAGACAGGTCACCATGTTTTCATCTCTATGCAGGCCTTGACTGAAGTCAGGTGCACATATGGTAACATTCTTCCCGTGTTCATCTTGAGCTTGTAAACACACAGCAAACACAGACATGTTAGAAAGGCATACTGCTTTCATCAGAGAAGATTCAGATAGCTCTGACATGATTCCTCCCAATACTGAAGTCTTCGCCCTACTATCTGATTCTGCACAACTGACCCAGTTCAGAGCACTGCTCTCCCACATTGACAGCCTGCGCCCTCTGCGTTCCAGCTATGTGTTCAGGGATGTGATGACTCGGGAGTTAGTCACTCTTGCTCTTTTCTTAACTGGATCCACAAGCCTCTGAAGAGTGGGGTAGAGCAAGGCTCCCTGGTATGAACAGTCCACTTAAGAGTCAGCGGAATGGTGGCCTGAAACTGGGGCTCCAAAGCCAGAGAAGACAGGTTACTACAGATGACATAAGGGGCACAGCCTTTTTCAGCCTGTGACCTGGAAACCTCCTGAGGTCGTCTAAAGAAATAAATCAATAGGCTAGACATAAATGTTTCTATAATATCTCAGTAGCAATTTTTATAAACATCGTGTTTCAATTATGAATATCTAGCTAGATCTGATTGTCAACTTGACCCCAAAACAGGGAAGTGGAAATCATTCTACAAACAGTCTATTTGACATTAAGCCGGAATTGTCAGTGGAGATCACCTCAAAAGAATAAATATGTCAGCTGTGGTTTAAAAACCCTTTATTTTGGAGGCCAGTGCAGTGGGAGAAATGGTTTTTGTGAGATGTGAATAAAATTTAACATTTATATTTAGGTAGTACTACTTAAAAGTAAAAGTTTTTTTATTGTTTTGGGGAAATATTTGCTATTTAAAACAAGCACTGTGAACAAAACTCCATTAAGTTAAAACCAGAGATCAATATGTAAGCAACTGTAAATGAAAGTTTTAAGGGTAAACTATGTCAGGATTAAGCTTTTGTGTGTAACTAAACTCAGGGTAAGCTATAATTACTGGCAGACCTCCACTGACCTGAGCCGAACATGGTGGCATGTGCCTATAACTCTAGCAGTTGGGAGGCCGAGGCAGAAGAACAGCAAGTTCGAGGCCAGCCTGGGCTACATATTGAATTCCAGGCCAACTTGACTTTATAGTAAGACCTTCTCTGACAACAAATAAACCTGTAAGAAGTACCTATATCTAAATAAACATTACATTTGCTTTCTAAATTTAGCAACTTCTATTTTCTATTCTATTAAGATTACATTTACTTGATTTATAGAAGATCAAATATACCTGAATAGTCACACATCCCTGTATCTGTATGTATATACATATTTGTATATGCATTCTTATATATCATAAAAATGATAAGCATAAAATATGCTCTAGAAAATCAATATGAAAATTTGGCCACCTGTTCATAAGGCTTGGGGCCTCATAATATGTTAGAATACACTACTTATGTAGATTAAGTTTTACTTTTGGCACATGTCTTCAGTCCCAGCACTTGGGAGGCAGACAGATAGATTTCTGTGGTTTTGAGTTCAGCCTGGTCTACACAGAGAGTTCTAGGTCTGCCATGATCATGTAACCCCATCTTAACAAGCGTTCAAAGTAACCACTTTACCAGTTTTACACCAGTAACAGGTAGCATCCCCACAGAACTTGCTAAGCGCCAGCCTCTGTCTGACTGACTAATGCACACATCATCTGCATTTTCACTGAGTTATTAAAACCACACATAGAACAAAGCTCAGTCTGGCTCCAATGACCATGCTCCTTTCTCTGTGTTCTGTTGTCTCTGTAAATGAATATCGTCTAGGGCAGACTTTGAGACTGCCTGCGAGCCAGTGACAGATCTGGGTACAAACTGTGTTTTTTGCTTCCCTTCCCTTCACATTTTTTCCACTCTCTCTTACTGTCAGCTATAGGAAAAATTAATAATTAATAATTAAAATTAAATTAATAATTAATAATTAATAATTGAAACAAAATGAAGCAAAAACAAAACAGAACAACAACAAAAAGAATAAAATAAAGTGGTTCTTGACAAAGCAGAACAACAGAATGCAGAGGAGGCCTAAACATGTAAAAGCTGACCTGCCGATCTCTGTTCAAGTCTATTCTGTGCAATGGGAAGACTCAAAAGATGCTGGGGGCTGGAGGGCTCAGTGGTTGCTGGCCCTTGTGACTCTTGTACCCATGTCATGTGGCTCACAGTGGCCTGTAATTTAGCTTCAGGGGATCATATGCCCCCTTCAGGACTCCTGGAGTACCTGCACTCACACATGCACATGCAAATACACACACAATTAAAAAATAACAAAAAAATTTTTTTAAAAGAGAAATTTTTGTTTTTCAGTTAAAGACTTTATATTTCACGAAGAAGTCAGATCGTCTTGCTTCTTTGATTGAATCTTTGACAGCTCAGGGTCTGGGGAAATGAAGACACATGCATCATCAGCACATATCCCCAACAAGGCTCCTTACCTATTTTTTCAGGCTTGCTGGTCAGTGCTGAGAAAGTGAGGTATGTGACATAGCAGCTTATCAGCCCCGACTGCAACAGCCCAGAGTGTGGTTGTCCTGGGAACAAGAGACAGGACAAAGACAGGCTTGATGTCCCAGCAGCAAGACTCTGGACCTTAAACGGAATCCCCTCCCCATGATGAAGCTCCTTAATCTTGTGTACCCACCTTTTCCACAGAAAAGAAGAATCTAATGAAGTGTTTGTCTCAGAAACACATTAAAATTGGGTATGACTACTCTCACACTCAATTTTAAAGACACCAAAGTCTGTCCAACTTCTCCATAAACAATGCTTCAAAACCTATAACTACACAACACAATGTCCAGACACCTGAGGGTTTTTAATTGTGTGTGTGTATATGTATGTATATGTATGTATGTATATACGTACACACACATATGTACGTATATATATACATACATACATATATGGATACATGTATGGATACAAGGATGTATACATAGAGGTACAAAACTACCACAGCATGTGTGGAGGTCAGAGAACAACTCTCAGGAGTCAGTCCTCTCCTACATTGTGGGTCCCAGGGATTAAATTCAGGTTCTCAGGCTTAGCAGGAAGTGCCTTCACCTGCTGAACCATCTCCCAGGCCTCTCCCCCTGAAGTGTATAACATTAGTTCATAAATCACAAGATGAGAAGAAAATCAGCATCACTGTGTAGCTTAGTGAGATACACAGATAACTTTTACAGAACATGTGCAGATGTACAAGGCCATTAGATAATCCATGAAGCAGGCACTTAGCTGTCAGACGGACAGAAGAAAACAACAACAAAACACTCTTGGCCACACTAAGTACAAGACCTAGTCCAGGCTATAAAGACAAGCTATTGAACATGGCATTCTCTGGGGGAGGGACTTTTAAAGTTATAATATTTGAGTAACAACTTAGTATTGGGTCATTTAGAGTAACTACAGAATCTAGTGGCATGGGCCCTCTCTTTGCTAAAATTTTCAACCACATGTTCATATGAAAGAATTCAGGCTTCCTTCTGGTTAAAAATCTTCTTTTCAATTATAATTATCAACAGAAGTATTGTAACAGGTTTACACAATGTTGCCCTTTGGAATAAAACATCCTTAGAACTAATGGCAATAAGTAAAATGTTATACTTGTTTCATAAGGTAGGATTGAATGCAAAGGAGACTTTAGTCAGCTTATCAATAGTTTGTTTTAGGAAATTCTTTACTGTTCAGTTGCAGGGACTGGGAGAATAATCATTTGCCTCAATTTCTGTAATGCAGTTGAAAACTTAGAATAGATACTACTTAGAATAGAATTGCTACTCCTTAGCTGCTTCCTTTTTCCTTGAGGGGATGAGTCAGTCTCACATTGCCTGGGCTGGCCTCAGACACCTCTGTGCGGTCAAGGCTAACTTTAAATTTCTGATTTTTCTCGCTTCCATCTCCTAGGTACTGTGATTACAGGCATGTGCAAACATGCCTGGCTTCTCAAACCCACTATTTTGGAAAGGGTTCAAAGGGGTTATACATTTATTATCCACATATCATTTTGCTATCCAGAAATCCGAATGGCATGTGTAAATGAATCACCTACAGTGTAAGATTCCTCCAAGAAACACCAGACTGGGTACACCTCTCTAACTCTGAAAGCAGCATGGTTTCCACACACAAACTTATGAGGTCAGAGGTAGTTTATTGATGACAAGCCACACTCAACTCTCACTTCTTCTTCTTCCGTGGCTCTAAAACAGCCTGAGCAAGGCCAAGCTCACACAGCTCTCCTGACTTCACTGAAATAGAATCTGGTCATGACTGGAAGCAATCTGGAGATTTCCTATTTCCTGACTCACGAGCCAGGTTGTCCTCGGTTGCTAGTCACCTGCCTAAGACAATCCCAGGAGGAGCCTTTCCAGACCTTGTCATTCAAATTTCACCAGGACACAACAAGCCACATTTATGAATCTCTTGCTTAACAGAGGCTAAGCACATTCCCATGTAAAGGCCCCCACAAGCACTGTCTATCTTCCTGTGTATTGGCTTAAGTTAAGATCTTTCTGGACACAAAGCAAACCTGCCTATCAGCTCCAAATAAGCACGGAATATGAACAGAGACATGAGCCCCATCCACAGGAAGTTAAAGAATGACTTGGGCTTTCAAATAGCCACTGTGTGTGTGTTCAAAAATCACAAAGGGAAAATATACAGAAAAAGGGAAAAGCCATGCTTACGGCTCTGGACACAGGGTGAGATGGCTGCCAGAGAGATTAGCAGGCACAGGCCACCATGCACTCCCAGGAGGATCTTGTTGTCGGTGCAGTCATCCTTCTGTGTGTAAAATACTGCCATCAAAATCAAGCCTCCCACAGCAACAGAGTACATGATGAGCGTCGCCAGGGACAGGAAGGCGTACCACAGCTTGTTAGTGGTAGTGCCTGCATTCCTGTTTCTCCGGGAAGGAGGTAGGGAAGAAAGAGAAAAGAGAACAAGTCAGTGAAGGCCTCCAATCTCTGGAGCTTTCCAGTCCTCAGATGTTGGCTGACAGGGGCAGGCCCCATCGGGAACACTGGCACCATGATTAGAAGACACCTTGAACAACAATGACACTTGACCTCAGCTAGAAATTCTCACAGTTATGCAGACTGCTGACTTAGGCTTAGAACCATCTCCAAATATGAGTTTCTTCCCCTGCCCCAAGTGTGTTTATCTCCTGAAATGAACATCTACCAGCTTCACTCTAGGGTCCGCCACACTGAATGCTAACAGCGCTGGGGAAGGTAGTGGCGGCTTTGAGGCATGAAGCAAAAATGGTAATTCAGTGGGGTTGGCGTGGCACTTCTCTGTGAGTACAGACCCTGGCGTTGTCATGATCTCTCTTTCCAAGTGCTGCCAGTAGCTCCTCTGGAGCCACCAAACAGCTCCACTCACAGAAGCCTGGCCATCCCGTTCTTTTCCCTCTGTACTGAAAGGGGCCTGCATCAGGACCACCTCTCCAAAATACTATGAGGAAACAGTAAGGGAGAAATACTACAGTAAATAACATCAGGGAAAGGGGTTAGAGAGATGCTTGGTGGTTAAGAGCACTTTCTGCTCTTGCAGATGATGTGAGTTCAATTTCCAGCACCCATATCAGGCAACTCACAACTACCTGCAACTCCAGCTCTGGGGAACCTGAAGCCTCTGGAGGTGCCTGCACTCACATGCACATACTCCATACAGATGTGCTCACATGTGCATAATTTAATAAGTCTTTAAAGGCAGGGAAAGAAAAGCTGTAGTGGGGCTGGGAAGAAAGTTCAGTCAAGAAAGTGCTTGCCTTACAAGCATGAGAGCCTGAGTTCCAGATTTTAAAAAGCTGGGCATAGTGACATGTACTTCTAACACCAGCACTGGGGAGGTGGAAACAGTTAGATCCCTGGTATTCCCTGGCCATACTTGGAGTGTTCCAGATCAAAAGGTGGACAGCATCTGAAGAATGACAGCTCAGCTCATGTTGTCCTCTGGCTTCCACATACATTCACAAATGTGTTAACCCCTATAAACGTGAATATGCACACAACAGAATGGGAGAGAGGAGAGGGGAAGGAAGGGAAAGGAAAGCAAGGGGAGGCAGGGAAGGCCTACTGGGATATACCCTAAAGAAACTAAGAGAAGAGTCTACTTTGCAGTTCCTATAGACATTTATACAGGTATGAGTAAGATTTGTGGAGATACAATTCTGTAGAGGTTGTTGAGAACAATGAGGTGTTATATATGCTAAGCAAAGAGGAAAAAGCCTAGGAAGACTAGCTGCTGCCTGTCATCTGCCCATGATTCAGCTGCTCTTGGTGCCAGCAACTGTGCTCCCACAACCTCGCTCCCCCATTTCTTCAGAGAAAGCAGCTTGCCTAATGTTTCCACAGAGCTGGGAAGTACTAAAGCAACACAGCTAAAAAAAAAAAAAAAAATGTTTTCACAAAGGGAAGGTCACTGTCCTCGACACACACAGAGTAAAGAGGAAGTTAGGCTAAGATGATAATGACCATTATATTCCTGACACTTTGCCGGGCACTCTGATGACCCCAGAATTACCCCCCCATGAAAGGCACAAAGAAAATGAGAGACACTAAGACACTGGGGAACAAAATATAATGACAGGGTGAACCCTGGACAGACGGGAGGCAGGGCCTGCTTGCTCCTCATCTGGTCTGTGGATTTCTGAGTACATTGGTAGTCCAGGTTAAATATTTGGACCTCGTCTCTCCTGAGCTCCACTCCTCTTCCTCCACACATCACGATGACTCCATGCTCACTTCCTTTTCCTCTAACCAAAGAAGATGGCAACCATACTCTTCTTGTTGAGAGAAAGAGAAAGCACAAGAACCACAGGGCTTTCCTCACCTCCACACTTCACCTCACTTCCAGACCCACCCACACTTGAACCCTGCTCTTACCATACCAGAATCCCACCACCTTTGCAACCTGGCTCTGAGCTCCACGCCTCAGTGCTAGACCACCTCACACCAGTCTCCTTAGCGCGCACTATGGCCCTCTCTAATCTTCTGTTTTTTAAGTTAAGAATGATTAGGTTACATTCTTCCCTTCAAAACTCTTCTACTCTGCCAACATTTCATTTAAAACCCAAAGCCATAAGTCTGGAAAGGCATCACAGTAGTGAAGTATTTGCCTAGCAGATACAACGCCCTGCGTAAAAACCGTTTTTAAAAAGCCTTTACAGCAGCCCTCAAAGGCACTATGATCTGGCATAGTGCCATCTCTGACATCATCTTCCCCACTCTTCCCATGCCACTGGGCCCCAGACACAGATGTCCTTCTGCTTTTACACAAGCCCAACAAGCTCAGGTCTGAGCAGGGTCCTCCCAAGGACAGCCTGCTCTCCCGCACCCTGTATGGTGGAGTTTGCATGCATGAACCCTTTATATAACTGCATGATGCTGTGCTGAGTATCTACTTCCCCATGACAACACTATCTGCTTTGCCTTGCTGCTACCATGTAGGACAGTGCCTGGGACACTTGCTGACAGTGTTAGAAAGAAGTAGCATAGGTGGCAGAGTAAGCAAGAGGCTGTCGCTGGCTCCTGGTGTCTTCTTGCTGGAGGCCAACCCAGTTAGTACTGTGACAGTCACCTTTCCAGTCTCCATGTTCACAGCAGTGTTGTCTGGAGCACAATTGTTCCAAAAGACACTGACCACATGCTGAGTAAGAAGCCCCAGGACGAGAACCAGGTGCCTGGTAGAGTCTATTCATACAACAAGAAGACAGCCCCAGGCAGGGAAGGCTGGTTGAGCCCAGGCTCCATGAGAGGCAGGACTAAATTAAACCTAACAAGACAAATTTAAAATCTTGAATGTTTTCACTATCAAATCTCATAAGCAACACCTGAATATACTAGCTACCTTCTGTTATTTCATCTGTTGTTTGTTTATTTATTTATTTATGGAGGGGCATGTGGCACATGTGTGGAAGTCAACGGGAAATTTATGCAGGTTCTCTTCTTCTACCACATAGGTGTGGGGATTAAACCCAGGTCATTAGGCTTGGTGGCAAGTGCCTTTACCAACCGAGCCATCTGGTCAGCACCTGTACCTTCCATTATTTCAACTGTAATATAGAACTAACCTTTCAAATTGTGACTATGACCTAGACCGCAAAAACTACAACAAAACCACAACTATTAAACATCCAATCCAACCAACCACATCATTTTATAGTACAAAATCGGGTGTCAGAGATGCCAACAAATATTCCTCAGAGTGACATTCCAGAATGCGGAGGGACAGTAGATCTGTGTTCAGCTGGTTTGCAGGTCCAAGGCATGTCTACCTTGTGGCTTTGGGGAATCTTCTCTTTTGATATATTTATAAATGTAATAAAAGAGAAAGAAAAAGTGCCATCTAATAAGTTGTTCCTCTAAAGCCAGCCATCACATTTCCTGTGTTAGCTCTGAATCGTCTATTTAAATCAAAGCAAAATAGGAAAGGGGAGGGGGGGAGTATAAAAGTTAAAAGAAAGAAAACAATTTTAGTGAGTTCCCCAGCTTACTATTAATTTTAGGTTGATGAATCATCTGTAGGTGTGTTAGTTAACAAAAGGTTTTTGTTGGGATTCTAGCCTCAAAGCAACATTGTCTGCAAATGTCTTTTTTTTTTTTTTTTTTAAGATTTGTTTTTGTGTATGTATGCATCTGTATAAATATATTCCACATGTGTGCAGTGTCCAAGGAGTCTAAAAGTGAGTATAGGAGCAGTTGCAAGCTGCCCTGCTTGGGTGCTGGAGCTAAACTCAGGGTCTCTGAAGAGCCATGAGTACTCTTAACTACTGAACCACCAGCTCTCTGGTGTGTAATTTCTATAAGTTTTCAAAGTGACCAAAGGCCCACTAAACTGTGGCACTAATAATCAGTCCCAGAAGAATGGGCTCATGAATCAGTTAAGACAGAGAAACACAGATAGATGTGCCCAGGGGAACCCGCCGTGTGCTACACGAGTCAGAACTCAGGTTTCAAGACACTAGGACCTCAGCATAAAGCACACACATGTAATAGACCTGCACAACCTTTCGAGAAAACCTTTATTTTGTCCAATATAGAAGACACTATACAGCATTATCATTTAAAATGCATTCCTAATTCATTATAGGTACTTCTAGACAAAGAACATAGGGCCAAATGAAGCTATAGCACCACTTAACTAATCTTTAAGGAAACTCTACTGCCTCAAAACATGATCTACAAGAGATGACAGCACAAATCACTAAAATTTAAAAGTGACTCAAAACATGGATGGCAAGCAGTAACTCTTACAAAGGCACAAGTCAACCAGAAGAGGCAAGACTTTATAAAACATCAGAATGCAGTGGTAACACTTCTGTGTGAGCCCAGATGAAGCATGCCCAAGTTACAGTCACACAGGGTCCACACAGCCAGTTACAAAAGGCACAAGCAAGAAAGGCAGGCAGAGGGCAGAAGACAGAGTGGAGCCTTCCTCTGTGGTGGGTACTCTCTTTGACTCAGTGAGTGAGAGCTTTCCACAAAATCCACATACCAGTTCTTGTTCCATTTATGTGCAAACTCAACAATCAGGAGGAGCTGGATACAGATGAAGATGAAGCTGCCCACAGCTCCCACATAGCGCCAGGCTGCAAAAGAGCACAGCCCAATGGGCAGGAAGGTGAGCACTGAATTCGATTAACTAAAGGAAATCAACTTCTGATTCATGTTCACTCTAACACATTTCATTGCCACACACCATACAAGGTACGTACTACTCTCGTCCTCACTTGTTAAACCTGAGGTAAGAATGAGAGTCTGTGGGAGTTGGTTAGTGTCTCTTTGACAGAATCTAGAATCACTAGAGAAATGGGCCTCCAGGCACACCTGTAGGGGGTTATCTATCTTAATTGAGACTGGATGGCCATCTTAATTGTCAGGACCATTCCTCTGGGGGAAGAGTCTAGACTGTAAACTGGAGAAAGTAACCTGAGCACACAAGCAAGCGTTCCCTGCTCTTCTCCCCAGGCTTGTGACTAACTACTTCAAATGCTGCCTTGACTCCCTACCATGGTCTACACTCGAGAGCGTCCTTTTTCCTTTAAGTTGCTTTTGTCTGAGTATTTTATCACAGCCACAGAAAGCATAGTACTAAGACAATTAATTGTCAAAAGCCTCTCGCACATAAAGGGCATAGCTGGGACTTGGACATCAGTCTGGCTCTGGAACATCCAAGCTGAACCTCATGCTGAATTGATAGCTCTCAATAGACGCAGGAGTTCACAAAGTCCACAGCGGCCGCTGATTCACAAGCAAAGAGAAATATTGCTAGAAAAATCACTGGGCAATGAGTCTTGACTAACCAGTATGGAAATGAGGAGACAAGGATGCTTGTCTATTTTGGGCTCTGTTATAAAGTGACTATAATGTCTGATGAACCATGCCATGTGGGTCTATAAAAAGATTGAGCTAGAGCTGGCCTGAAGACTTTAGGCCACCTCTCACTCTAGATATCTATCTTCAATAAGCTAAAATACACATGAAAATTATCTCTGTGGAGAATAACATCTAGTTAACAGTGTTATAGCTGGAAGGAAGACTTAGATATGCCATTTTTTTAACACCTATGAAAAACCGACACATCCCTAAAGATGTAGCTGAACCCTAATATCTAGGGCATCGATTGAAGTACGGCTGGTGCCTACAAACTGCCATCTGCATTAGGAAAGTGAATCGATTTGGGTTGAATGAAGTGTTTGACCCACTGTAATTTAGATGTCATTCCATTCTTACCTGTCCTTTCCTGGGAAGAGGCCCTGTTTCAGTTATGATTAGTGGGTCCATATTAAACACAGACAAGGATTATAACTCCATGTTACCTAACTTCACAGTTAGGAAACTGTTTACAAAGTTTAGTGTGTTCAGAAAGAGACTGGAGAATGCCTTCCTTGTCCAGCTCTCACAGCTAATAACTGTTTCACCCTGCCAGCTCTGTGCAGTACTCAGACAACAAGGCCCCCTCACGGCAGAGGCATTCTGATAGGCCAGGTCTGTTTTCAAGTAAATATTAGAGACCTGCTTTATGCTCCAGGCCAATATGTTTATCATTGCAATTCCTTAGTCAACAGAGGAACAGAGGCTTCTCACAGGCTGCCTACAAGTAGTAGGAGGAGGAGTAGGGGACAAGGGTGTGTAGGCAGGTAAATCTGCCTTTAACTAGAACCAAACCCATGATATTGCATTTGGTAGGCAAGCACGCTACCACCGAGCACTGAGACTTTCTTTAACTCATAAAAGAATGAGTAGTTCAAAATATCAAAGGTACCAGACCACACTTTTGAAGACTATTACAATGTGTAAAAACAAAATAACCAGGTACCCAGAATACCCCATATGTACCATTCAGGAAGGTCTCCTGATCCGGAATGAAGAATGCTCCCGAGCACATGGCCCCCAACAGCAGGAGCTTAAAGAACCAGAAGCTGGGAAGATAAAAAAAAAAAGAAAAGAAATACATTTAAATGATATACAAACTCGGACAAAAGATCTCTCGGAAGGTAGCATGCCAACCCGTGTCCCTGTCATTGGTACTGTTCTCTCCAAGTGAGGGGGGCGTGATGAAGTGACTGCAGAATGCCTTCTCCATAGTTGGGCACACTTGGCATGGCTCCAATTGTACAAAACACTATTTCAGGGCAGGTTAGAAATGACCTGAGGGAAGGCCTTAGTAGAAACAATAAACTCTCTGCGTATACTGAATTTATCATCATGGCCGCAGGCATTACAAATAGCACTGCTGCTCTTGGACTACCAGTGACGTGCAACCCATCTTCCTCAAACCAGGGTCAAAATTTTAGCTAGCAGATCAGTTAGGGCTGGTGAGCAGAGGGCCCTGGAACACCCTTGGAGGCCAGCAGACTTACCCATTGTGGATGTAGGCCCGGCACCCTTTGCTGTTGTTGACCTTTAAGGTCAGCAGGCAAAACACAAAGAAGAAAGAAGCCATTCCAAAGCAGACTCGATACACGGCAGAGTACCCCACCAGGTTCTCGCAGGTGTTACCAGCTTTAATGCCCTTACAGAAATCTTCAAAAAAAGGAATCTGGGGGAGAAGGAGACACAAAAGTTGCCTGTTAGAACTGGGCTAGAGGCGAACCATCTGTGGGTGTTTGTCCAGCCTTAAGTCAAAATCCATGGTAAAATTCGCTATGTATGTGCTCAACAAAACCAAGACTTAAAGAAAAACTGTACATCCTCTAAAGACGTTTTAGCTGGAGAGGCTCAGCAGTTGGAGCACGGTTATTCCTCCAGAGGACACAGTTTGATTCCCAGCACCACACGGTGACTCATAGGTCCAGTAGATTGCTTTCTCCTGACCTCCAAAGACACCAGGTACACATACATACACACATACAGGCAAACATACACACATACACACAAAATTGAAAACATTCCTTTAAACACCTTTTCAAAGACACAGTCCCTCTAAAAGCACTGTTCAATCTTTATTTACTGCAGTGACTTTCAATAACAGAATTTCCATTGCAGTGTACTTCTTGAAATATACAATATGTAACATAAAAAGTGATAAGTGGCTTACACAATCACTCCAAATGTCACTCCTTCCTAAAGAAGAGTCAGCAACTTGGTGGGGGGCTTTTGTTCATTCATAAACAGAAATTTGTTTATACACATCTATACAACACATATATACACATACACACACCTATATACACCCCGGTAATACTACACTCGTTATATATTCATAATGCTTTTTGAAGATTTAAGGCCAAGAAGGTCCAAGCACAGAGACAAAGACAGCACAAGTTGGATTTTCTTCCCAAACATAATTTAAGGCACTGGAGGGCATCCTTGTGAGCCATCCCAGTGAGGACCCCTTGTTCACCACTTCAGAGTAGTGATGAAAAGTGAACACAAAGAGACTGGGAGCACCCACATGGAGGAAGGGAGGGAGCCATGTGAGTGTTTTCTGGAGGATTCTGTTTAGTTTCATCAGATGGGAGCCTCCCAGGACAGCAGTGAAGGACACTCTGGGTGGGTGGGTGTGGTGGTGTTTCCATGACCGTGAGCTCATGAGAACACTGATGTAACGGATTTATAACGCAATGGCACGATTGGAAGGTGATGAACAGTAGGAGGTGGAGCATAACTGGGAAAAGGAGGTAGCTGGGTGATATCTCGGGACTATATCTTTTTTGTTTTATTTATCTCTGAGAGTTTCATACATTTGAATCATATTCTTTCCATTCCTCCAACTCCTCAGATCCTTGCCCTCTCTCTTACCTACTCACCTACATGTTATCTCTTCTCTCAAGACAAAACAAATAAAAACTAAAAAAACAGCAAGTCCAATTTGTGTTGACAACTATTCCTGAGAATGAGCTGCCTTGGAGTGTGGTTGATATAGTGTGACTCCATTGAAGAAAACTGATTTTTCCTCTCCCAGCAGCTATAAGTAGCAAACAGCATCTTGAGCAGACGTGGGACTTGTTCCCAACTTGCCTCCCTCTCTGTGTTAAGAGTTTTGTCTGAATAACTTTGTATGGGTCTGTGTTCATATGATAATCGGTCCTGATGTATCTGGAAAACCTCGTTTGTGGAGCTGTCCCCCACCTCTAGCCTTTTACAATCTTTCCATCTGCGCTCCTGGGCTGTATCTTGCCCTGACTTCTTCCCGTGTGTTCCTTTCCTCTACTTTCTGTGCCATGCAGAGAACTGCCTCTCCAGCATACATCCCACAACAGGCCCAGAGATACTGAGAGCTAAGTGGCCACAAATCCTCAGAAACCATGAACTAAAATGATTAATTACTCTGAAAGCTGTATCTTTTAGTACTTAGTCCAGTAATAAGAAAAGTTCCTCAATATAAGTGGAGACCAGAAACAAAATTACTCTTCCAGAGTTCCAACTTACCCAAAAGGATGTCACTCTATATGATTACTACTGGTGACGAGGAACGTTGCTTTAAATCAGTAAAAATTACAAAGAAGAAACTTGACAACCTCATTTATTAGGCCATTTCATGTATATATACCTATTAAACATGTTTATTTTATGTGTATTGGTGTTGGGCTGCAAGCGTATTTGTATCCACTTGTGTACAATGCCAGCAGAGTGCACAAGAGGCATCGGATAAAATGGGACTGAGTGAGCATCGGCTGCCACGGGTGTCAGGAACTGACCTCTGGTCTCTGGGACAGCAGCCAAGTTCTTAACTGCTGAATCACTGTCTCAGCCTATATGATCTGCTTGTCCAGCACCCATGGGTGTCTGCTTTTGTTTCCTCTTTCACGCTCTTCCTTTTTTTTTTTTTTTTAAGCCAGGATCTTACCCTGTAGCCCAGGTGAACCTTGAACTAACAGTAACCTACTTGCCACAGCCTCGCAAGAGTCGGAAGACAAACCGTGTCTGTTCCCTCTTTGAGCATACAACCTCCTGAACCCTCACACACCACAATACATTCACACCAACCCTTCTTTCCCTTTTACTCCCGCCCCTTTCCTTCCTTTCATTCCCCCACCTTGTTTACTCACTGCCACTATTCCCAATAAAGCTGCAACTTGTTCACTCCCATCAGGCTCTGCTGTGGCCACAGTCCCTGAGGCCTATCAAAGGGTAAGTATGTGATCCAAACTAAAAGTGGGCAAATAAGCCTCGCTCCAAATACTGACCAAGCCCCCTCTATGCTCTGTGGGTGACTTAGCATATTTAGCCTTCAATAAGTGGTGAGTATTTTTAGGCAATAACCTCCAAGCTGAGCAAGCCAACAAGATTTTAAAAAGAGGAATTAGCTCTGATTAAATATTTGCTGTTCCAAACTCTATTCCAGTTTTGGGAAAAGAAAACATACATCACACACAGATTCCATACTCCAGGGTGTTACCTCTTAAGTCTGCTCTGGGCATCCAGGGACATTACACACTAGGCTTGTGTTCTGTACAGGCCTCTGGGAACAAGGACTTTCCTCACATCCCATAGAGAAATCAAACTCAAAACCAAAACCGTCAAGTAAGAATAAATATTTACAGGGAGTTTCAATCCTGACTTTGCTGTTCACCTGGGCAAGCTCCACCTCCCTCATTCCCAATTCTCTATCTTTCAAATGAAATAATCTCCTGATGTTGCCCAGAAAACTCTTCTGGCTAATCCCTGAGAAGGGCTAATGACAGCCCCTTGCCCACGGTAGTCATTACACTCATTACATGGGCACTGTCTAAGACAGAAGGGAGCTCTCCGGAGAGGAGTCAGACACACTGCTGGGATCACTAAGATAAGGAGGGTAAGGCAAGCATCTTGGAGCTCTATGCACGGTGACAAAGTATTTTCTGCAGACCCATGCCAATAAGAAGAATGATGGTCACGTTCTTACATACACAGTGGCACTCCATTCCAGTCCTAGTATTTAAGAGGCGGATGTAGGAGTATCTACAGGTTAGAAGCCAGTATGGGACACATACCAAGCTTAGGGCTAGGTTGAGCTACAAGGCAAGACCCTGCCTCAAAACATGAAGGGTTAGAGATAGAGGTCATTGGTAGGGCACTTACCAAGCATGTGCAAGGCTCTGGGGTTATCTGTAAAACTTAACAAAAGGAAACAAACAGAACTCTTAGACCCGGTCACCTCCTTTAGGAAAGTCCGCCTGGGAAATACTTCCAAGGCATGAGCAGAAGTGCCTCTCAGGCGAAAGAAGCTAGAAGCAGCAGCACTAGTTATCCCACCTACAAAGGTGGGCTGTCAGTGGTAACCCTGGCATCTTCAAGTTTGGGCGAGTTCAAGAGGCGCTGAGGAAGTGGCTCAATTGCTAACGTGCTCACTATGGTAGCCTGAGTTCCCAAGTTTGGGTTCCAGGGCCATGTGAAAAGCCAGGCCCTGAGGTACATGCATTTAATCCCAGTCCCTGGGAGGCAGGCACAGGGAGCCCCTGAGGTCTGTCCGTAGGCAGTCTGCACAAATCAATAAGCAGAAGGTTCAGTGAGAGATCCTACTCAAAACCAGTTGGGAACCACACGAGGGCACCCAACATCAACCCCTGTACACACAAGCACAGGTGTCTACACACATGAGCATGTACAGACATGGTAAACACACACACACACACACACACACACACACAGAGAGAGAGAGAGAGAGAGAGAGGGAGAGGAAGAGAGAGAGAGAGAGAGCGCTACAGAATGGTCTATTGATCTCATCAACTGGGATTTCAGAAGATGCAAAACACAGATTAGAAAAACAGATTCGTTGGGAGTGGTTCTCACAGAAACAGAGAGAAGATGGTAGTCACATGGCTCAGTAACACCCTGACTTCAGAAATGAAAATGGGATGTTAGCAAAGCGAATTAGTCTTACATTTCATTCTATCAAATTTCTGGAGCTTCAAACGAAATCACAGTGGTGGAAAGCTCTGGGCATGAGTGATGAGTTAACTCACAGAACCAGAAGAACAATGTCTAAGAATTCTTCATCAGCCCTCACTTGAAAAGAATGTGCGTGTGTGGGTGGTTATCCCCCTAGTCTCCTCTTGAGGCTCCCTGTCACCAACCAGGGTACAACAGCTGTGAGACAGGAACCCTGAGCCAGTCTCCACCCTTTCCTAAACAGAGTGAACCACTAGAGTTAGTCTCTTTGGTGTGTCAGCGCCCTGCAGTAGCTCAGGGAACCTACAAGTATTTAAAAACAGCAACACCAGCTAGGCCTTGCCTCTCTTTGGATTAAGTACCTCTCAAACCAGGAGCATCATGCCCCACCCCCTAAGTAAGTCTTCAGAAATAGAAAGCATATAGACAGACTGACAGTATAGTTCACACAAGTCCCCTGTTTGTGGCTAGCATGATCCACTAGCTAGAAAGTAGCTCTAAGTGAAGAGTTAAATAAACAAGCTAGCCTAAATCAGAGAACTCAGAGAAGATTGGGCAGGGCTGGAGGAAGGACTCTTTCAGACACAGAATTGAGTTAGTGAATCTCATCCTCCACTGACAGAGAACTGGGTAAAAATGAGGCAGAACCACATGAGTCACGATTCTGAAGGAGAAATGGGAATGACTCCTAGTGAAGAATGGTACGAGCGGACGTGAAAGAGGCCA